TTTATTTATTTATTTATTTATTCCCCACCTGCCAGGTGAGGGTTGTTAGATTTTATCAGAGCTGTTCTCGGCTAGCTCTCCTCGTCGTCCTCGTCCTCGTCCTCCTCCGCCTTCTCCTCCGCCAAGCTCTTCGCCAACTCTTCGCCAAGCTCTTCGCCAACTCTTCGCCAAGCTCTTCGCCAAGCTCTTCGCCAACGTCCGAGCTCAGTGAGCACCGCTGGACCTCAACCTGGGACCCTCCGAGCTCAGTGAGCACTGCTGGACCTCAACCTGGGACCTTCCCAGCCCAGTGAGCACCGCTGGACCTCAACCTGGGACCCTCCGAGCTCAGTGAGCACCGCTGGACCTCAACCTGGGACCCTCCGAGCTCAGTGAGCACCGCTGGACCTCAACCTGGGGCCCTCCGAGCTCAGTGAGCACCGCTGGACCTCAACAGCCAGATAGAAGCCTTAGCCTGCCTTAGCCTCCGCCCCATCTGCTGAATGCTCCCTGCACTTTCACTTCCTCCACAACCCGCTGAGCTGAGCCCCCGGTGCCTTTTCTTGCTCCCCTTTGATTCACGAAGTGAATCTCGCTGAAGGGCGATGTTGGAGCTAATGAGCCGCCTGTTTGCATTCCTGGCACATGTTCAGGCAGTGCAGCCAGTTGCCGGCCCTTTTTTTGCTCGCTGGCGTTTGGCTGGCCACGGTGACATCAGCCCGTGTCTCCTTGTTCTTAGGGCCACCCTGCTGTTCTTTCCAGCAAAGCTATATATATGTGGCCCTAATGTATCCTGATGTGAATCACATCAGTATGAACAATTTCGGAGTTGTCAGTAGATAGGTATCTCAAGATGCCAGAAGATATCCCAGATAGAATGTCAGATAGAATGCCAGAAGATATGCCAGATAAAATGCCATAAGATATGCCAGATAGAATGCCAGATAGAATGCCAGAAGATATGCCAGAACATATGCCAGAAGATATGCCAGATAGAATGCCAGAAGATATGCCAGAAGTAATGCCAGAAGATATGCCAGATAGAATGCCAGATAGAATGCCAGAAGATATGCCAGAAGATATGCCAGAAGATATGCCAGAAGATATGCCAGAACATATGCTAGAAGATATGCCAGAAGATATGCCAGATAGAATGCCAGAAGATATGCCAGAACATATGCCAGATAGAATGCCAGATAGAATGCCAGAAGATATGCCAGAACATATGCCAGATAGAATGCCAGATAGAATGCCAGAAGATATGCCAGAACATATGCCAGAAGATATGCCAGATAGAATGCCAGATAGAATGCCAGAAGATATGCCAGAAGTAATGCCAGAAGATATGTCAGATAGAATGCCAGAAGATATGCCAGAAGTAATGCCAGAAGATATGTCAGATAGAATGCCAGAAGATTTGCCAGTAACAAAATGTATAAATGTCGTGGTGGGGATCACACGAAGGAAAGTAATTTTGTAAATAATGTAAATCCTTTGCCATCAAAGGGGTAGATTTTTTCATTTGAAACACGGTATCCAAAATTACCCACGATGAAAAGTGGAGCTCTCCTTTATCGCCAACACTTGGTTCCATGTGGAGCCACTAAAAACCGAATCACAATGGGAAGATGACGGATTTCTGTGCCTATGCTCGGGTATGACGGCTGTTTCCATGTATACCATGTATGAACATATAGTTATATACAAATCCTTCGCGAAGCCCTGACAAAAAAATAGTTATACTGTATGTCTTATATAATTTAAATTGCAATATCACTATATATGACGTCTTTTCTTTACTATATAATACTATATACATATTCTTTTGTGAGGTAGTGGATGGTTGCGAAATCCTGCATTACCAGATGGTTGAAACCCATGGGATGTTTACCACCTATCAACTGGTGATTTGGATTTCGCAAGCATCCACCGTATCTCCACCGAGGACGGGCCCGATCTTTGCTTCCCCACGCTGTGTCGGAGCGCATGGTGGCGCCGCCCTCCATCGACGAGCTGGGGGTCTTTTCCGTGTCGCACGTCCCAGGCGCCGGACGAAGCGATTTGGGGTTGCAGGATGATCAATGATAAATGGATGTCCATGGATGAGAAATTTTGATAAACGATGATAAATGTTGATGTTTATTGATGTATATGCCTCTGTTTACTGAAGATTTTTTAAGGATGCAACTGGAAACTCTGGAAAGTGTTTGGCATAATTATCCAAAATTGATTTTTGTCAACAGATTTCACTGAAGCGGATAATCAGGGATAATCAGATAATCCATGTGTCATGATGATATTATATAAGAGCAAAGTCGGGACAGAATAGGGGTATGATGGGCTTAGGCCTATAGACAGATAATATTAATGGATACGACGGGGATCTAGGGATTTTTGTCCCAGAACGGACATCGAGTAAATGACGACCTTCTGTGTTGATTGCTCGTTCTAACTATTTAGGTGTGGGTTGATATTTGCCCGTAGCCGGGGGGTAAGTAGGAGTCAATCGATTGATTGATTTGACCAATACTGTAGTCACTGTAGACATTCAATATTGTCTAATTAGTTGCGTTCAAGCTTGTTAGTTGTTTGTTGAGAGCTAGTTCACTGAGAGTGACCATTGGTTTTTAGATTTTATCAACAGCATCTAGCCAATCGTTCCTGAAAGCGACATTTTCCAGGTGTCCTGTGGACAGAGGAGGAGGATGCTGGCCATTGACGTGTCGAACAGTGACAAAGATCATATCCTTGATAAGTTGTTGGATGGCATTAGAATTCAAGATTTGCACCCGATTTAGATTTGGAATTATGCAAACTATGACGATTTCTGGTTGAACACGGAGGGGTTAGAACACTGTTTTCATTGGTTGGGAATGGCTTAGCCATTCCTGAACCTGACCGGGGCGGGATACGTGGCTCAGTTCAGCACGGCTTGGGGTCTCCTATTTTTGACCCATGAGCTGCAACGAAGGGTGATTGCAACCCTAAGCAAACCAACATAATGGAAACCATGGTGAAAATTAGCTTCGATGATTTTCCGTAAAAAAGGCTATTTCCGTTGGAAACTGTTAGTCATTATCAGAGGGTCGATATGTCAGGGTGGCCACTCACCCATCAAACTTGTTGCTTATTATTTAGGGGTTTAGTATATACCCCTTTCCATTGGTTACAACCCCCCAAGAACTATTGTTTACTGTAGTTAGCTTTCTATGTGATATATTGTAACCCCAAGAAGATAGTAATATACATGGTTTGATTTTCAACTTGTTTAATAGGGTTAAGTTTCCTTATGTGTCTTTGATTCTTATACATCGGAACAAATTGCAGAAATGAAGCATAAAGCCACTAGCTCAGAAGCCCCCCCTGTTGATGGTGGGTGCCGATGAACGCTGACAGCCACATGTTCCTTTTTGAAGACCAGCCGGAGCACGACTCCCCTGGAATCATTTTGAGAGAATCATGGCGCTGCCACAGTGGAGAATTACATGACTGTTTGCACGTGTTTACGCACTGTATGTATTGCCTGATGATCATCGAATTCTTTGATGGGACATAGCGCAGTCCGTCCAATGTTGCAAGGGATGGATATGTCTTAAGCGACCTGTCTTGAAGCATGATTTGCAAGCTGTTCGGGAAAGGCACTCTTTGAATCACATAGGTTTTTCATGGGCAATAGAGTTAGCATGGGCGAGTTACTGTAGGGTTACTAGCCGAATTCAATCAATTTTAACGATATATATATATATGTATATGTATATCTGTATGTAATGTAATGTAACGTAATGAAATGTAACGTAACGTAACGTAATGTAATGCAATGTAATGCAATGTAATGCAATGTAATGGTATGGTATGGTATGTATGTATTCTGTATTTATACAATGTTTATTCACAGAGCATAGCAAGAACGCATTATCTATTCAGGTATTGTGCATGGATAAAACCTTCCCACGGGGAGCCGTTGACCCCATATCCAATTTTTCAAGGTGGCAGAAGGCCAGCTGCGAACAATTGATGTGCGTGTTTGTTTCTAACGGCCATGCTTCAGAATTGAAGCAGGTCCACGATACTTCAAGTACTTCCAAGGCGCAAAAACCTGAGCTCTTGTGGAAGGCACTCCTGTTGAAAGATTGAAACTTCAAAGCAGTGCAAGTGAAAGGACTAATTTTTATGTGCTAGTATAATTTTCAAGACTGCAGACTTTCTCGATCTTGGAAGTCCATTCAGGTTATGTGTGTGTGCTTTGGAGGTGTCAAGTCCCAACGGTCCCAACGACCAACTGTTTTGCCACAGGATGCTCTGAGGGCAGCAAAGTTGTGAACTTCACAGGATGGTGTGGTTTTGTGCCCCTATATTAAACACCACCAGAAACAAAGGGGTCTAGTAAGCAAATAAAAAAACACTAATCTTTGATATCTTTGCCACCATAGAGGGGGGTGTTTGATATTAGCATGGAATATATGGAATCAATAAGCTGCCCGCGATTCACAAACTTAAGTGCGACTTTGGTTTGCTTTAAGCCATGCCCCCAGAGAATGGGATACCCACTAATATATCACATCACGAACTCCAACCAGGAGATGTCAAACATGGACAGCAGGACAATCTTTCCAGTGCCAAGTCGAAGTATCTCTGTCCAACATGAACTGATCTTTTTTTGGGTGCCTGAAGTAAGAATAATCAGACCTTGAAACCACCAACATGGATTTGCCACTGTGGGGTTCTTCTTTTGGTATACTAAAACGGCACACACGTGCACACCATTTCAAACACATCATCAACCATCATAAAGTCAGAAACCATCCCATGTGTTCAGTTTGTGCAGTATGTCTATATAGTATAATGTGATAAAAATAGATTAAACTATCATCATTGTCCGTATGATATATACATATATATAATGCTTTGAATATGGCACGGACGCACACACCCATATTATTTATAACATATATATATATATTATCCTGTATTATATATGTGCATAAATGCTAGCAATATATTATTTGTTTGCTGAAAATAACCTTAGCAGCCGTCCCGCTCAGCGATGGCTCAATCCGGGTTACTCGGATCTTGACCCCTTTTGATCTTTGTCTCCGATGCCATGTCGTTGCCAGAAAGCTCTTTGAATGTCACTCGATGTGTCCCTTAAAATGATGGTGAGTGATTGGCAATCAAACACAGCAATGCAAAGCCCTCGATTTTTTTAGAGGTCTGAGTGAGAGCATCATCTATATATCGTGGCTTTCCCATTGCCATGTTTGATTGCGTAGATGCTGAGTATGATCCCTCGGGATCAGTTTTTCATGGGGCTGTGGCCCCATAAGTTGGGTTTTTTCGGATAACCCCCTCAACAAAACTATGTCATAGTTGAAGCGCTGGAGCTGCACCGAAGGCTGACCATCCCATTGTGGAGATGGCTCTTTGTGATGCGAATTTCAAGGTCTAGTCGTTACACGTGTGGACTTGTGAACATCTAAGGTGGAGTCTTTTTTCGGAAAGCGCACACGCACAACATGTTGGATTCGTAAGTAAGTTCAAGCTGGTTTGGTTTGGTCGCTACAAATGGAGGTTTCTCAAGATATGGTTGCCATTGGGGAAACCCCAAGACACAACACTTGGATGGTTTTGGGATCTCCCATTTGGGGAAATCCTTGAATGTTTTGAGCACCTATCATTGTTTCAATCATGTTTTATGTGTCAATCCGCCCACCCTGACACTGGATGATGATCCGAGTTGACCTTTTTTTCAAATGGGTGGTTCAACCACCGGCCACAGTAACAGTGACATAGCCATCATGGAACGGCGTCCTAGCCTCAGAATGTGCAGCCCGAGCTGGATGCCTCTGGTAATAACCGTTTGCTATCGAAAAATGGCCCATGTTGATAGTAGTAGTGAGCAACTTAGATATTAGATCATGTGTATGTATATATATATATATAATTTGATGATATACCCGATATACCTATTAGTTGATCCTATGGATGATCTGCCTTTGAGAAAATGATGATGCAAAATGTAAACATAGCGCGGCTGGTGTTTGTTCTTGGAAAGCATTGGATTGATAACCAAAAGCCATGGTTTAGTTTTTACTGTAGTAATAATGTAGTAGGGTTTGTCCTGTAAAAAAAACCCTGATAATCCAATCCAATGAGGGAAACACTTGAAACCCTCAATGATTTTTCGGCTCTGGCTTTGACTAGACCTTTACAGGACTATCTATTGCTTTAAATCTTAGCCCAGGTGTCCCATTAATCGACTGGTCGATGAATGAACATCGATAACGATAACTCTCAATGGGAGAGTTCAAAAAGGATGGAATAACAACATGATACACGATAATCGAAACGGTTACAAATTGGACCACAAGCCATTTCTTTTCATGATGCTGACCTCCATTTGGGATTGGGATACCTGAGCCACTGACCAAGCTCATCACACAGATGAGTGGGGAACTGGTAGATAACGTCTAAATCACGGAATAGTGATGATGTGTTTTTGGATGGACATGTTCAGAACCAAAACCCCGAATGACCTTGCAGGGCGAATATGTTTCAACTGGGAGGTATGAATGATACAACAAGAATCAACATATATAATCACCATTTCTTGGTTTCTTTCTGATTGTTGCATTAATCTCGTTTAACACTTATTTCAAACGCCATGTTTCAGTATGGATCTATTTATTTTGGGGGGCCCAGCCATGGGGAACATTAAATAATATCAATAATTAAAGATATTTCTATATGATTGCGGGAATTGGTTATTGTATTTTCATGTGCCCAAATAGAAAACCCTTTGCATATTCAAAGAAAGGTTATTTGAAGTCAAATTTCCGACTTATATGGACAGATGCAGCAACAGTGGTGAGAGCAATCAGAGAAGAGAAAGAGTCAGCAGAAAGAAGAGCAAGGTGCGCAAAAAGGTAGAAAAATCGGGAAACACTAGGTTTTTCAAATGTTTTGTGGCTGCGGAGGGTCGAAAAGTAGGCTCGCTCAAGCGGCGGGTGCGGAGCCATCTGGCCAGATGAAAGATGAAAAAATGCACGCCGTTGTGGCGCGAAGCACATTTCGAAGTCAAAACGTACAAAGCACACCCTTCTCGGAGCACTTTTGAAAGTTGAGATGACAAACAAGTGCACACCGTTGTGGCGCGAAGCACATGTCGAAGTCAAACTGTACAAATCACCTTCGCTCCGGATCAAACATCTCAGAACCTATACTAGTTCGAGGAAGTCTTGCAGAATTGCTTCGTTTTATGTGGGATGCACTAGCTAAATTAAACCAGGTGGACACTGAGTTAGGTTTAATTTTTTTGGTTTAATTTAAAAAATCTTACGAAAACAGGGGGTCCACCCACCTCCTTAAGATCCTGAAGAAAGTTGAGTTGGTTTAATTTTGAGATGTGACCCACCCCATGGTTTAATTTTCAGCTGTTTTAGCTCATTGTGCTGCCTCGTGTTCCGCCTCGGGATACTGCAGCCATGGTTCCTGACACGTGTCCTAGCACAGCTCCGTGAAGACGATCCGGCGTGGACAGCAAGGTTCTTGCACAGTTGGGAACAGCATTGCTGCAGCCCAAATGCTCCATCTCAAGCAGAGCAAGTCCATGGGAAAGGCGCTGCGGGACCATGGTAAACTGTTTCTATCTGTTTCGGGCCCCTTGCGTGATCCCAGATCAGGTCAGAATAATTAATCAAGGGGTGGGTGAGTCCATACGTACTGAACATTCATTCATCAGGACACCTTTGGCACCATAATATTCATGGGATTTATGGTCACCAGAATAATTAAACAAGGGGTGGGTGAGTCCACATGTACTGGGCATTCAGGATCAGTTCTTCCATTGGGGCACCCCCAACACCATAATATCATACAATATCCATGGCATTGATGGTCACCAGAATAATTAAACAAGGGGTGGATAAGTCCACATGTTCTTGGCATTCATAAAGATTCATGTATTGGGATACCTTTGGTGTTATCATGACTCATTGTTTTTTCTTGAATTTTCATCTTTGGTCATCACAAAGGAAGGAACCTGATGGAATCTCATTGGACTTGCTACTTTCGAATTATTTTGACACCTGTATCTCACCAATCTCTCTCATTGAAGGTTGCTCATTTGCCTCCTTCTTGCATGGTGGAGAGAGATTGGTGAGATACAGGTGTCAAAATAATTCGAAAGTAGCAAGTCCAATGAGATTCCATCAGGTTCCTTCCTTTGTGATGACCAAAGATGAAAATTCAAGAAAAAACAATGAATCATGATAACACCAAAGGTATCCCAATACATGAATCTTTATGAATGCCAAGAACATGTGGACTTATCCACCCCTTGTTTAATTATTCTGGTGACCATCAATGCCATGGATATTGTATGATATTATGGTGTTGGGGGTGCCCCAATGGAAGAACTGATCCTGAATGCCCAGTACATGTGGACTCACCCACCCCTTGTTTAATTATTCTGGTGACCATAAATCCCATGAATATTATGGTGCCAAAGGTGTCCTGATGAATGAATGTTCAGTACGTATGGACTCACCCACCCCTTGATTAATTATTCTGACCTGATCTGGGATCACGCAAGGGGCCCGAAACAGATAGAAACAGTTTACCATGGTCCCGCAGCGCCTTTCCCATGGACTTGCTCTGCTTGAGATGGAGCATTTGGGCTGCAGCAATGCTGTTCCCAACTGTGCAAGAACCTTGCTGTCCACGCCGGATCGTCTTCACGGAGCTGTGCTAGGACACGTGTCAGGAACCATGGCTGCAGTATCCCGAGGCGGAACACGAGGCAGCACAATGAGCTAAAACAGCTGAAATTAAACCATGGGGTTTAATTTTGAGAAAGTTGAGTTGGTCCACGCACCTGGGGGGAGAAATGGTGGGCGCAACTGTTTTTACACCAAGTCTCACTGGCATGTGTAGAACCAGGTGGTTTAATATTTGGTCTTGGCAAAACAAAATCAACCCAATGATCCTGTAAAATTAAACCAGGTACTGCCGAGTAGCTTGTTTAATTTTTAGCTGTGGGATGCTGGGTGGGACCTTAACTGGAAGTTTTCTGGATTAATTTCTTATGTTAAAAATAAACGGAGGTTATGTTTGACTGAAAAATTTTGGAAAAAACCATACTGCAGGGGACCCCGTTTAATTAAAGAAATTAAACCAGGGTCCCACCCCCCCCCACCAATTACCGATAGGGAAATTTCGTTTTGGACGTGTCAACTTCCACTTTTGATGGAAGTCTTGCACAAATGCTTCCTGTAAGATAGGAAGGTAGATAGATAGACAGATAGAAAGAAATAGACAGATAGACAGAGATAGATAGTCAGATAGTCAGATGGAGAGATAGATAGATAGTGAGACAGAAAGACACATGGACAGGTAGACACACAGTTAGCTAGCGAGATAGACACAAAGATAGGTAGATAGATAGATAGAAAGATAGATGGATAGGTAGATAGAAAGATACAAACATAAAAAAGATAGACAGATAGGCAGGCAAGTAGACAGCTAGATGGATGGATGGATGGATTGATGGATAGAAGGACAGATAGAGAGATAGATCGATAGACAGACAGACAGATAGATCGATAGATAGACAGACAGACAGATAGATAGATAGATAGGTAGAACAGCACACAGACGGATAGATGGATGGATGGATAGATAGACAGATAGATAGATAGATAGACAGATAGTTAGATAGATAGATAGGTAGATAGATAGAAAGATAGAAAGACAGATAGTCAAGTAGACAAATAGATAACTCAGAGCCCCCACCACCTTTCGATCTCGGTTCGGTCTGCCATCCGTGCATCACAACAACTCACCTCTCTTATAGTTTTTTATTTTAGAGTCTTCCGCCACCGCCTTGTGCGGTACTACTGGTACGAAACATTTTCAAATTTCCTCTATTAAAAAGTCCGATGACTTGGGGATATACATGCATCATCATGTAAATACGTATAATTATATATATATATTTATTTAATTAATTTTAATTATATATATTATATATACATATTCATATGGATGACTTGACTTGGGCATATATTTCATGCCATATCCCCTCGGCGTAGTCTTCCCCAGGATCGGCTTCGGGAGATTCTTCAGCAACTGATTGCGGAGCTGGATCGGCAATCCACGGCGCTGAAAAGCCACTGGGTCATTGAAGATTTCGTATTCCTTTGGATTAAGTAGGGTTTCCTAAAACAGGGGTGTATAATGGAAAATCCTACTAGATGAATTGGGGCTACCCCGTTTTAGGAACCTCCGTACATTCTATGTTTCAGCTATTGCTAAGGATGCATATGTCACGTTTTGCTCGCCATTTTGATGGAGGACAGGTTTAGATGCAACCATAGCTCGTTTTTGGTGGTTCATAAAGGTCATAATTAAGGGATCAGTATGGCCTGGGATCCCGACAAATCCCTTCAGCTGCCCCAGGCAGCTGCATCATTTGGAACCTGGCTAGATCCACACCGCTGAAAAAAACAATTTAAGACAAAAAAACTATACCTTACAATGAAACACGATAGGCGCGTAGGTATGCAAAATCCAGCAGTTGTAGAGGATTTCCTTCCGAAACTTCCTTGCGAAACCAAGGGTTTTGCTGGGTTTTGCATATCATTTTGTTTGTGTCATTTTGTGTGCCTGAGGTTCTAGCAGTGGTTTCAACCCCATCTGTTGGCCCCTGAGGTTTGGAAACGGACTGGCCGGAGTCGTCCACGCCGGTGCAGCTTGAGCTGTGTGAACACGACGTCGCGACCACTGCGGCGGCGGGTTCGGCCGCGGACGACAGGCCCATTTGTGATATGTTTGACCAAAAAATCATTATAAATATAATCGGATTATAACTGGTAATCATTACTATTCTGAAAGAATGTCATGATATATTTGTACCTATATATATATTAATATATATATATATATATGCATGTGCGTGTACGTAAATTAATTTATATTACATATATATATATACACATGCAAAACATGTATTTTAAATGATGCAGTTCAGCATGATGATTATTTCAATTTTTGTTTGGTGTGTACACGACTACCCAGCCCAGCATGCTGCAAACGCATGCAAACAGCGTTTCAATAATGAATCAAAAATATGAAACGATGAAAACATTGTATAGAACAAGTTTGAACTTAGCCGATCGGTGGTCTCAAAACCCTGGTTTCACTTCGCCAATTGGGGAAGACAGCCACGCGACATGTTTGCAGGCCCAGCAGCAAACCCGAGAGCAAGCCGAAACCAGGCTGTTTCAGCGCTGAAGGTACAATCAACCCCACCCTTTACTGTTGACTACCGCTTGTACGGCCCCTCAAACATGAAGTAAACCAAGCTTAATGGGTAGTTTTAGGCGGAGCGGACTGATTGTGTTTATAAACAAGCCACCTTGTCGGAATACCAGTGGGACCCATTTGCTGCATGTATGGTACATTCACCTGCATTCGACAAGTTTTTTGTTGGGTAAGCGCTGCTAAATATGCCATACCACAGAGAAAGAGATGACGGCAGTTCGTCACAGGATAATCAATTTCTTCTGAAGTATTCCCGGTGGGGTATATGCACATGAATGTTCCATGATATATCACAAGAACGCGTGCATATGCATTTGCAATCATACGCTAAAAAAAGTTCAATTAAAGATAACAACATATCTCCAGCAAGTAAAGACAAAGGTTCACACGACGTACACACATGTGAATAGCTAGCGAGATAGATATAGATATATATAGATATACACTGAAATGATACAATGATTTAATGATACAGATATTTAGTTGTATAGATTTTTTACATAGAAAATTATATATATATATATAGATTCTTGGATATTCAGATATGGATACTTTGATAATGTTGGATGCTGATTAGCGTCGGCCCGCCCCTCCAACAATTTTTGGATCCACTTGAGGGCGTTTTTTTTGTAAAGTGCAAGGTCCTCAATAAAATGGTATCAATTGATTTCAACTTACTTTCAATTTGATTTCAATTGGCTTCAATTTAATTACTTTCAACTGATTTCAATTTACTTTCAATATCTTTCATTTGATTTATTTCGATTGATTTCAATTTACTTTCAACTGATTTCAATGTACTTTTACTTGATTTCAATTTAATTACTTTCAACTGGTTTCAATTTACTTTCAATAGATTTAGTTTTATTTTCAATTTACGTTCAAATAATTTTCAATTGGTTTCGACTTACTTGCAATTGATTTCAATTTTTGTTCAATTGAAATTCAGTTGATGTCAACTTACTTTCAATTGATTTTCAATTGGTTTCAATTTAGTTTGACTTTATTTTCAATTGATTTCAACTTACTTTCAATTGACATCCCATAGTAATCCCATAGAAATATCATAGAAATATCATGAAAATCCCACAGAAATCCCATAGAAAGATCATAGAAATAACATGGACATAGCATAGAAACCACAGAGAATTCCCATGAGAACACCATAGAATTCCCATAGCATCCCTTCAGACATCCCATAGAAATCTTCTAGAAATATCATAGAAACATCATGGAAATCACATAGGGATCCAATGGAAATTCCATAGACATCCTTTTGAAACCCCATAGGAACCCCATAGAAATGCCATCGACACCCCATAGAAATCCAATAGATCCAATAGTAGTCCCAAAGAAGTATCATAGAAATACCATGGAAATCCCACAGGAATCCACTAGAATCCCCATAGACATATCACAGAACCACCATAGAAATTCAAAAGAAACTTCATGGACACCCTATAGAATTCCCATAGTTTTTTTTTATTTTTTAACCCGATAGTCACCTCATAGACATATCATAGAAACCCAAAAGAAATATATTTCATGGACATCCCAAAGAAATCCCATAGAAATATGATAGAAATACCACAGAAACCCCATAGGAATCCAAAGGAAATCCCATAGACATCTTTTTGAAACCCCATAGGAATCCCATAGAGCTACCATAGACACACCTTTAGAAACACAATAGAAATCCATAGAATTTCATAGAGACACCATAGAAATTATATCCAATTCCCATATATAGAAATTGTTTTAAAAATCCCATAGAAACACCATAGAAACCAAGGAGAGGATGCCAGGAGAATTGAACTAAGTAAGAGATATAAGCTATAGCAAGGGAAAGGAGAAACTGATTTTGTAAAAAAACAAAAAAAGCTGGACACAATAAAGGACCCCACAACAAACATACTGTTGAAGATCAGGGTTGCTCATAGGCTACCGCCATGAAAACATGTTTGAGTGTTGTTTTTTAATGGTGTTTTCATAAGACCTCCTATATTTTGGAAAATTAGACATTTTGAGAAATCCAAAAGAATGGAGCTAAGAAAGTAAAAAGAGAAAAAAAAATAGCAAAGGAAAGGGAAAGGAAAGGAGAGAAGGATTTTGGGGAAAAAAAAACGCATCAAAAACAAGCTGAACACAATAGAGAACCCCCAGCAAACATACTATTGAGGATCAATGTTGCTCATGGATTACCCCCTTGAAAAAATGTGTGGGTGATGTTTTTTGATGTTTTTTTAAATAAGGCATCCTATATTTTCAGAAATTAGACATTTTGATAATTCCAAAAGAATGGAATTAAGAAAGTAAAACGAGAAAAACTTTAGCAAAGGAAAGGGAAAGGAAAGGAGAGAAGGATTTTGGAAAAAAAAAAACGCATCAAAAACAAGCTGAACACAATAGAGAGCCCTCACTACAAACATACTATTGAGGATCAATGTTGCTCATGGATTACCCCCTTGAAAAAATGTTTGATGGTTGTTTTTTTTTGTTTTTTGTTTGGGGTGGTGGTGGTTTTAATAAGGCATCATATATTTTGGGAAATTATACATGTCTGAGAATTCCAAAAGAATGGAACTAAGAAAGTAAAAGAAAAAACTTTAGCAAAGGAAAAGGTAAAAGGAATGCTTGACAATTTGTCACCTCAGGCAACAGCTGGACACAATAGAGGACCCCCACAACAAACATGCTACTCTTGCAAAATTGTTTAGATGCTTTTTTTTCAATGGGGTTTTAATAAGGCATCCTATATATTGCTGATGGGTCACAACCTTAAAAAAAATGCTTCTTCAGACAACAGCTGGACACAATAGAGGACCACCACAACAAACACATATGCATCAATTAATTACAGAATGAATTAGTTAATGAATTAATTAATTTCAAAAATGTTAAAAAATAGAAAGTAAAGTTGCTGAAAAAAGCTTCAAAACCTGAAAACATGGAAAATGTTTTCAAAAAACTGGATAATTCAAAAAACAAAGCCTTGACACTATAGTGGACCGCCCAATCAATTCCACAGATTCAGAATTATTTTGGGAAAACTTGTCACAATAGTGCATCCTCATACTAATCGGCATCCCACATTATATATATACATTGTATATATATATATATATTCATAAGTATCTTTATACATAGAACATGTGTACATAGAAACATATATTGATAGATAGATAGCATATAGATAGATCGACCGATAGATAGATAGAGCAATCTATGGATATAGCTAGATTTGCATGGGTATAGATAGCTTCTGAACTTCAGATACATATAGATAAATGATTTTAAATATAGATAGTAATACATAGGTATAGCTAGATATAGATAGATCAAGACGGATAGAGATAGATAAGGATAGGCAGAGACATGTTTATATTCACAGGGGTATACAGGGATAGATGAAAATAAATAGGTTGTGGTTTTGTACTAGCTGGGACTGGCAGTTAGAATATGAAAGTTGGGGATTTATCGAAGTGAATTCTCGCCGGCAACAAGATATATAGATGGAGATGAGATGGAGATAGAGATAGATAGAGATAGAGATCCATATAGGTAGATAGAGATAGATCGATGAGTATACACATTGATGAAGATAGAAAGATTAATAGGAAGGTAGGTAGATAGATAGATAGATAGAGAAATATAGTATAGAAATAGATAGACAGAGAGATAGACATATCTAGATATACGTAGATAGATAGATAGATAGATAGATCCACCGATAAGATTAGATTAGGTAAGATAAGATCAGATAGATAAATAGATTGATTGGAAAGATAGGATCGATAGGGTAGATAGGAAAGAACGATAGGATAGATAGATAGATAGATAGATCGATAGCTAGATAGATAGGTAGGTAGGTAGATAGATTAGATTCGATTAGATTAGGTTAGATTAGATAGATAAGATAGATAAGATAATTAAGGTAGATATGATAGATAAGTTAAAAAGATAGATAAGATAGATAAGATAGATAATATAGATAAGATAGATAAGATAGATAAGGTAGATAAGATAGATACGATAGATAGATAGATTAGATAGATAGATAGATAGATAGATAGATAGATAGATAAATAGATAGATAGATAGATAGATAGAGAGAAAGAGAGATAGAGAGATAGAGAGATAGAGAGATAGAGATATAGATAGATAGATAGATAGATAGATAGAGATATAGAGAGATAGAGAGATAGAGAGATAGAGAGATAGAGATATAGATAGATAGATAGATAAATAGATAGATGGATCAGATTTGATTAGATTAGATTAGACTAGCTTAGATTAGATAGATAGATAGATAGATAGTTGGATAGATAGATGGATAGTTAGATAGATGGATTAGATTAGATTAGCTTAGGTTAGATAGACAGATAGGTAGAGAGATAGATAGATGGATAAACAGATAGATAGATAGATAGATAGATAAATAGATAGATGGATTAGATTTGATTAGATTAGATTAGACTAGCTTAGATTAGATAGATAGATAGATAGTTAGATAGATAGATAGATAGATAGATTGATTGATAGGCAGATAGGTCGTTAGAGATAGAGATAGATAGTTTTTTTCAGATATACAAACATACATAGGTACAGGTAGATATAGTTAGATTTAGATTGATATATGCATTTTTTCAAAACTCTAGATGCATATAGCTAGATTTAGATTTAGCTATGTAGGTAGACAAAGATAGAAATATATAGATGATTACATAATATGTATATTAAATTAAATGGACAACTATTCACATAAGTATCACAACCCCTTTTATTTTTCCTTGTTTGCGCCTCGCTTTCGAGGAAGATGTTGCATTTTGACTCCGGGCAAACTCTCGAAATCCGCGAGGTCGAAGGACAGCTGGACAGGGACTGGTGGGTCCAATGGTGCACACCCTGGCTCCAAATGGCATTGTTTTCACTGAGAAAAAAAACCTTGGGACTTTACCACCAGTTATTGTTCACTATAGTTGAGTTTAAAAAATAAAAATAAAACCACCAAATTTGGAAGTTGCTTATTTTCAAGCCCAGCTTGGGGATTTCATCCGAAACTGGGATGCGAGAGGTTTAAATTTCCCAAGTCGTGCTGAGGTTTTCCTGAGTCGTGGCAGGCCCCAAGTTTCCTTTCAAATTAAATGGGTTAATAATAACCTGGTTCTTACATGCAGCCAATTTTAGGAAACACTCCTTTTTGTTTTTTGATTTTGACAACCTGCGGATCGGTGTGGCCCATGCTGAAGCAGCCAAAATTTTGGATAATATAGTCGTTTGATCAGATGCAAACACACATATATGTATATCTATATCTGTATATATATATATTTATTTACACGCACATACATAAAGTGTAAATAGATAAATAGATAAACAAAGCATCCAAAAACTGCATTTTTTTTGGTTGAACTGAGAAGTAGTGAGCGACCAAAAATCGAACAAATGCTGATTTTGCCCTCTGTCAATCAAATTTGGAAGGACCAAAAATATGACGCAAAATGACGCAGAAAAGACGCGAAAGACCAACTTTTTGACACCAAAACTGTGTCATTGAATCTATCACTCTTAGCCCAAAAGTGATGTTCAAGCCCGCACCTGAAAATCCACAAAGATCGAAAATTATGCGGTTCAAGGACTGTCCAGGTATATAATATAGATATATATATATATGATATGCATACATTTAATAGCGGCCGATCAACCAGCCTTCCGTATAGGCTGTCTTACGATTCAGTGCCAGGAGAGCGGCTAACGCCGGCGGACAGCTTCCAGCAGCTACAGTGCTCTTCCACATGGACCGAGGCGAACCGCGTGAACGTCTATGAGGAGCGGACGGGATGGGAGATTTTTCCGTTTTTCTTGGCGGTTTTTGTTGAAGTCAAACCAGAGACATCCAGAGACATGTTTTTCACAAAGTTCATTGATCATACGTTCATACAACATACATACCTTTTTTTTCGGGCAATTGCATGAAATTGCGTAAACTATTCGAAAACATGCATTTACATACAAGTGCGTACAATGACATGCAATTGCACACAATTACACCAAAAAAACGCGCACACAATTACACGCAATGACACGCAATTACACAAATTCATACGTACATACATACCTCCCTACATACATACATGCCTACATACCTACATACCTACATACCTGATACCCTCAAGTACTCAGGGTCTAGAATGCTTGGGCCCGGGGACCAGCCATCAAAGGGTCTACTTTGGTGGAGGGTATCATTTTAGACCATCATTTTAGACCCCTTGACTTGCTATGCATATCATTGTCAATTGTACTTATGGGCATCAGATATTTGATTATATGTGTATGTTGCATGTAGTTGCTGATTATGTAGATTTAATTTGTACATGTGTGAGTGGCCTTGACTTTTGTGTTTGTGTTCATTTAGCACGAAATTATCAACCAGAGTCTGGATGGGGTGCACCTTCAATAGCCGGCATTTTTTTGGAACCAATTTCAACCGATGTGTCAACTTTCCCCAAAGCATAGTTGAACCAATTATATAAAGTTTTTAGGGGAAGGGTCTGAAATGATATTGCCGTTTCAATGTCAAGAATTTCCACCACCTAGGCGGCAAGAAAACCGAATTAGACCCCTGGAGCTTGGGAACCCCCTATGGAACATTTCGAATTTGATACTTTTTCAGCCAATGCACAGTGCTTCCAAAATGGAAGCGCACAGTGGTACCAAAAATATAATATATACTAACATAAAATCTAAATGGCCCTCAGCTGACATAAAGTTTCAGAGACCCTAATCTTCTCATAAATTTCATGAGGCACTCACACCAAGTTGAGAAAATATCAGGGGGAGAGTCTCAAATGATATTGCCCTTCCATGCCAAAACATGCCAAAGCCATATGTTTGAACAACCCCCATTTGTTCTGCTGTTTTTTTTGCCTTTGGCTTCATATTGTAACATGTGCTTGTCAAATCTCTTATCTCATACCCTATATATTCCAAACTTGTTCATACGTATTCATATGTTGTATCTTGGTAGCTCCATATGTAAGCGCCGAGAACTTCACTTTAGACCCAAAAGTTTGGAACCCCCAAAAGGTCGAGGATGGTTAAGTAGATTTTTCCAAAAAGGCCAAGGTGATTACTAAGGACTCAGGACATTTATTTTAGACCAGGGGGGTTGGGGGTCTAAAATGAAGCTTCAGGGTCCCTAGGTAGTAGTTGAGGGTATCATACCTGCATACCGACATATCTTCGTACATTGATACCTACATACCTACATACCTGCATACCTACATAGCTACATAGCTACATAGCTACATACCTACATACCTACATACCTACATACCTACATACGTAGGTAGGTGCGTACCCACGTAGGTACTGCCAACTACTAAACTGGTGACCGATGAAGATGTTGAGACGGATTGGTGCAAGCATTGGCAAGTATGAATGCGACTAATTTCCCCCCAAGACGATGGGTGCAACAAATTGCCTCTGAGAAATAGGTGATATCCCGTGAAGTGGTTATCGAAGGAAGCTTTGAAGTCAAATTCAAACTTCAGACAATATGGACAGATGGAAAAGCAGAGGTGGAAAGAGTCAGGGAAGCGAAGAGAAAAAGAAAGATCAGAGAAGAGAAAGAATCAGAAGAAAGAAGATGCATGCGCACGAAAATGTAGAAAAGTCGCGAAACATTGTGTTTGATGTTTGTGGTCGCTAAAGCGGCGGGTGCAGGAGCCATCTGGGGAGATGAGGGATGAAAAATTGCACGCTGTTGTGGAGCCAAGCACATGGTCAAGTCAAAATGCTAGAAGCCACATCCTCGGAGCAGTTTTGGAAGTTGAGATGTCGAAAAAGTGCATGCCGTTGTTGCGCGAGGCACATGTCGAAGTAAACATGCACAAAGCACCTCAGGTTTTGAGCACTTTCGGACGTTGAGATGTTGAAAAAGCGCACGGCGTTGTTGCACGAAGCGCATGTGGAAATCAAAATATACAAAACACCGCGGTGTCGGAGCACTTTTGGAAGTTGAGAGGTCAAAAACGTGCACGGTGATGTGGCGCGAAGCACATTTCGAAGTCAACAGTGTTCAAAACTGATGGTCTGGGCCACTTTTGGAGGTTGAGATGTTCAAAAAGTGCACGCTGTTGTGCCGCGAAGCACATTTCAAAGTCAAAATGTGCAAAGCACACCACGTTCGGACCACTTTTGGATGTTCAACCACACCACACTACATGCCAACAACAGCAACAACAACAACAGCAACAACAACAACAACAGCAGCAACAACAACAACAGCAACAGCAATAACAACAACAACAACAGCAACAACAACCACTACCACTTCCGCTACCACTACCACCGCTTCTACTACTAGTACTACTAGTACTACTAGTACTACTAGTACTACTAGTACTACTACTACTACTACTACTACTCCTACTCCTACTCCTACTGCTACTGCTACTGCTACTGCTACTGCTACTGCTACTACTGCTACTACTACTACCGCTACTGCTACTACTGCTACTACTCCTCCTGCTGCTGCTGGCGGCAGCGGCAGCGGCAGCGGTAGCAGCAGCGGCAACAGCAGCAACAGCAGCAGCAACAGCAGCAACAGCAGCAGCAGCAGCTACAGCAACTACAGCAGCTACAGCAACTACCGCAGCTACGGCAACTACAGCAACTACAGCCAGAACTACAACAGCAATAACCACAGCCAACTACAACTACAACTACAACTACAACTACACCTCCACTACACTACCGGTACACTACCACTACACTATATACCTCTACAGTACCACTACGCCCACATCTGCACCTACAACTGCAACTACAATTCCACAACACCACGCTCCACTCCACTAGACTCCACTGCGCTACAATTAAAGCTACAACTACAACTACAGCTACAGCTACAACTCCACTACACTCCACTCCACTACACTCCACTACACTGCACTACACTCCACTTCACCACATTACACTACCACTACAGTGCCACTGCGCTACCACTCCACTACACTCCACTACACTACACTGCACTACACTCCACTTCGCCACATTACACTACCACTACAGTGCCACTGCGCTACCACTTCACTACCACTACACAACACTACACTTCGCTACACTACACAAGAACTACAACCACAACCACAACTCATTATATACAACTCTGCTACCACTATACTACAACTACGGCTACAACTACAACTACAACTACTACAACTACAACTGCTACAGCTACAAGTACATCTACAAGATTACAACTACAACAGCTATAGCTACAACTACACCACAATACAACTACAACTAAAACTGCAACTGCAGGTATTTTGCACTACACTTCACCACGCTACGTTCAACAGTTGTGGTTGAGGTGACCATGCGCTGCAACCATTCCAAAAAGCACAACTCCAACCACCGTTCGGTCCATCAGTGGATTTCCTCTGCCATCCATGCATCACAACTCACAACAACTCACTTCTAGATAGATAGATAAATAGATAGATACAAACATAAATACATACATACATACATACATACATACATGCACACATCCATGCATGAATGCATGCATGCATACATACGTACGTACATACATACATACATACATACTTACATACATACATACATACATACATACATACATATTCATACATACACACGTACACACACATAGATACCTACTTACGTACGCACATACATATGTGTATATATATATGTTGAAATTTGAATACATGCATATACATGTTTAAATATTATCAATAAATATATATTTTTCACATTGATGCACACAATCACGCAAACATACAAGCACACATGGTCATTTCGAGTCGTTCCGGTGGTCATCTCAGAGGTCCGTAACCTTCCCCAAGGCAACCCCGCAAGATTCCGAAAAGTCGGTTACACGGTTACAAACCTAGAAATGACGGAGAAATACATCATCAAACTACCCTGTTCCATTTTCCATCATTTTGTTTTAGGTGCATCCCTACCAAACTTTAATGACATCCACAGCTGACAGCACAACCGAGGCAGGTCAAGTGGCCATGAACATCGACCAGCAGAGGTGGGATCTTAGGCCCTGTGGTCCTGTGTTAGGAAGGACGGTTTCCGTCATGATTATACCAGCCAGTGGGGTGTTCTATTGCGGGTTCTATTCCCATGGATCCAAGCACCCCCCGACATGATACCAAGGGAATTGCGTTGCGAGAAAGCATTGTGTATCCACAGAATATGGACTGCATACAGGCATATAGCAAGTTCAGTAAAACCCAGTAAAAACCATCATTTGACCTTTCTGTTGGTAAACAGAAAAAATATAAAAATTGGCTAGCTCTAACATGCTCTAACAAAGATCAGCATGTCCGAATTCAAAGAACAATGGTTTCAGATTGTTCAAAACACTAATTACTGATCACTGGTTTCTTTCGAACAGATATCCTCCAATGATTATTCAGTGCTGCTATCAAAATGGTACCTCCTTCAATGAACAGTGGGGTTTCCGGGTCCCATTCCCCAGGCGCCTCACACTGATAGCCATGCGTGAAGAGAAGACGAGGCATTTCCAATGGAAGAAACCTTGGTACGTGGCCCGGCGGGCCTGGCAACTGGAAGCCATGGCCCAGTGAGGGGAAATCCTGGTACACATGGTGATGTTCCATAGCTAAAATTAGGATTTCCATGGTAACTCCATGGAAAATACCAATTGGTTTTCTTGCCATGTTTCATTTCCCACTCGAGATGATCCTACCAGCCTGCCAAAATCATCATTTCCCACCACAAAAAATTGTATGTGAAATTAATTAAGCATAGTTTTTCATGTTTTTTTTTGCCAAGCAAATGACGGCACAGTGGTGATCTCAGTTTTTTCGAGCACTATTTACATATATGTACATCTATTTTCACGCCCAACAAAAAAACATGGACTTTCGAACATGTTTCGATGAAATCCCCATAGCCTTAGGGTGTGCTGTGAAACTCGGCTGAGGTGATCAACCCAGAGAGCAGCAAGCAGCTTGGCGATCCACGACTTTCAGAAATGATGGTTGATGATGGTTGATGAACTCTTCAGTTGTTTTGTATACAGTGTGGACAGATATAGTCATGTGAGATGTGTATGCATAGTATATTATATATATGATATATGTAATTAATATGTTATAAGTTATAATTATAATATATACTATTAAACTATATTAAATATTCTTGATTGTAAATAGTAGGTAATGGGGCGCTCCACTTCATGTTTTTGTTTTTTTTGAAAAGGTTCATCTCCAGCACACCCGATCAACGGCAGCTGTGTTGATTTTACCTGGCTTGTTTTTAAGCATTCCAGGGGCATGATTTGAAGATATATAGATAGAAAATAGCATATATATATAAAATGATACCAAATATTTGGATATGTAGTCCACGGTTTAAAAGATAAATGAAATCAATTGGTGTTGATTTGCCTCCCTATCATGATGTCCTTTTCCCCCTTGCTTGATCAACCCAAGAGGTAATCCCACGGGTCGCCATTGACCAACTGAAAGCTAGAAATATGTAAACTTTATGGCAAATCACATGCCAATCTGGGCCCTTTTGTTTTCAACCGGACATGATTGCACTGCAATTCTAGAAGTAAACGGCACATGAACTGAAGCACGGTTTTCTCCAAGGTAATGTCATTACTGTGACTAATTGCTGCTCTTGTTTTGAGTTTTACACTTCTTCCAAAATCCTTCCAGCCTTGTTGCTGTGTCTATCTTCATCCATTGAAATGGATTGATTCTGACAGTGCTCGTAACTTTCGGGTTGACACCATTCACACAGCATCATTTGATATCATTTGGACATATTTGGACATATGGTTGAATATGGTTGATATCATTGACATCAAACCGGAGAAATTCACCATGGCAATCTCCGGAGGTATGCCACCTACTGGCAGTTTCTCACTTTCGCAGCGATGGTCTTCGTAGCATTCGTGACTCCGATCCAGGCGAACCTTTCCAGGAATTGCATTGGAAAATCCATGGTTTCCTGTGGGGCTTTCCTTTAAACCAATCCGTTGATATACATCTTACATGTTTCATATTCATATGTTTCGCACGCATAATGTAAGATGGTGTAGTTAAATATATTTGATACAGCATGATTTGTGATATGCTACGTCGTGTTTTGCAATGCTATGTAGTTATGCACTTTTGTGTCATGTTCTGCGTTCACATTTTTCATATAAACATCATATATATATATATATATGTGTGTGTGTTTGCACATTACTATTCGAAAACAGTAGTGGAAATGTATGCACAAATGGTGCATATATATATAATACAAACGCGTATGAATATATATATATATGTGCACATATAATTTGCATATTTACATATATAGCTATGTAATATATATATATATATACATATGTATACCTATATGTATACGTATTAATGTTTGCATGCACAGCGTATCAAAATCTCAAAAAACACGTTTTTGTTTTTTTAAATGCACATATATATATATATATACATTCTTTGGTTAACATAACCATTGAACATCACCGTTTATAGTTGACTTACATATTTAAAATGATGATTTTTCAAAGCTATATTAGTTTACCAGATGGTACCCATGTAGAGTGTCACTGTCTTTTACACTGACGGGAGGTGATGTTATGCTTGGCTGTGGCAGGTGGGCCTTTTTCCAATCCGCCTGGATAGTTTGCTGATCCTGAGCCTTTGCAGCTGCGGCTGCATTTACCATGGTGCCCCATGGTCATCATGTCAATGGCGGCCATTCCAGGAACCGATTGATTGGAGGTACCTACCATATATAAGGCCTATGTAAGGCCTATGTAAGGCCTATGTAAGGGAATATCCCCCCAAAATATGGTCTTATATGGTACAATACCTCCACTTTAGGATCTTGAAATTCCCATTGATCATGCGATGGTAATACTAAGCATATACTAAAGTCTCTGGTCCCATAGGGCTTCCATTTTGACCCCCACCCGAATCGCAAAAGATGCCAAAGAAGCGCCTGAAGCAACTGAAGCAACTATGATAGATGAACCATCCTTGTTGGTGGCCACTAAGCCCGCCTATAAACCCTTACTATTCGGGGGGATCACCTTTGTATCATCTGACATTTTTGGTGAACCTACAGCGCGCAAGACGTCGCAAGACGTCGCAAGTGTTCCCTGGTTCCAAGCTCCCTCCCTATGCGCAGCTCAGGTGTCGATGGGATTTTTCTAGCGGATATGGCACTGCAATTCTTCACCATGTATCCCAAACGAAACTCGCGCTGTGCGACTAGCGGTTGATCCTCCAATCCCCCGGCAGTCAAACGTGGCTATAAATGGATGGTATTCCGCTGCCACATGTCATTACCGGAAAACAGGAGACGTATGGCCCAAGGAACGACCAATGAGGTTTTCCAGGTTTCTGGACTGTGATAGCCAATAGTTTCAGTGACTCCTACCACTGAGACTCAGTCAGTGCCTTTTCAGCTCCCAACAATATAAGCCAAGTCCCAAAACGAACGGCACACCCTTAGATTCATCAACCACGTTGTTCGTTTGACCTTTGGTTGATACTGCTGTTGGTGGGTATTTGCCCCCCTGTTGTGTTGTCGTCAAAGATGCAAAATGTGACCTCGCCCGAGTTGGATCCATGCGATCCTTATCTTACAGTATATCACATCATTCCACATTACT